GGGTACTCATTTATCTTCCTGCAAAGCCAACTGTGTCCTGAGAAGCACTGCTTAGTAACTCAGTTGTGGTGCTGCAGCAATATCATTGCACTGGCTTTTCCTGTTGCCTTTTTTGTGGGATGTGTTTGTTTTGCCTCCGTGCAGTGCCAACCAAGCCAGAGGGGGCAGCACCCAAGTGGTTCTGCGCAAACCGCATCGGGTCTAGCCAAGTTCCCCACTCTGATTTGATGCTTGTCGTGCCAAACACCTGGCTACCTTTCCCATATTAATACTGTTGTACAAGTTCTTCCATTTCCTGTCGTGTCTACTACCCCAGTTACTTTGCATACTGGATAAATGGTTGTATTACTTTGCTTCTTTGATACCACACTAAAAAAAAAGAGGGTTGTTTCACTGTGCTGAGATGATTTTGCATCACATGTTCAACAGCAGCACACGTTCAGATTCAGTCAGGAGGAGCAGCACTGTCCTTTCCAACACTTTGTTTCTTCTTAATTTTCAGATATTCCGAAAGAAGGCAGTGGAACTTGGAGAGAAATTGCTACCTGCTTTCAATACTCCCACTGGCATACCTTGGGCACTACTGAATATTAAGAGGTAATATCTAATTTTTGATGGCTGCATATAAAAAGTTATGTTGAAATCCTGTCTTAACTGTAAAACTATTGCAATTGCCTCACTATTTTAGTCATTCCAGCTAGGCGAAAGGTCACACAAGATCCGGTGTTTTGTAGTTTAAGTTGAGAAATGTAAATAAATATGTATTGTACACATAAGAGTGCACCAGCACCGTGTGTATTCATCACAGAACTGACTGCTTTTCTGTTAAATAGCATGTTGCTCATCACTTTTTCTGGAGTCCCTCATTGATTTTAGCGTTGTTATAGGTAGGCTAGTTGCAAAAGGAGATGTCCTGAGATATGTCACTCCAGAAAGGTAAGGGTTCTTGCCAGTTAGGCTGCTCTGTGAAAAGCACCATTGCTTTTACCTGTTGACAAACACAGTACGAGTGTGTCCTAGGAAACGAGAGTAACATCTGCTACAAGTGACTCAGTGTGTTGCCTTGTCTCCTGAGGAGTTTCTCATTCAGCCAGTTTTGCTTTGAAGGTGGCCAGGTTTTGTCTGCAGGAGATGCTCACTCTCCTGGAGCATCTATGGCCTCCCGTGTTCCATTCCAGGCAAATATCTGTAAGTCCCACATTGCTCTCGGGGCTACTAGACCTGCTGGTGGTGACACAGTGAGACAAAGGCTCCCTTTGCACTGTCTGAGGAAGAATATGGGAACGTATACATGTGGATTCTGTTTACATGCATACAGGGACACATTAACTGCAGGCCAGCTACTTATCATAAGAACATGAAATTCCAGCTCTCCAGGAGAATCAAGGGAAATTTAATGTGTGGGAGGTGGTGCTGGTGTCATGTTTGTGTAATTCCCCTCCTTCACAGTCAACATCTTCCACTGTTCTGTTTGGTCTGTTCTTATGTCTTTTTCTTCCAGAAAGAGGCATGAATTGGCCTGCTTGTATGGTTGGCTGTATTTAAGAATTGTGAGTAATCTCCTCTGAGTCAGATCTACAGAAATCCCTGGTGTGTCAGTTTAGGCAGGCTTATTTTTCAACCTATCCTACAAAAAGAAAGAATATGGGAGGTGAGAGACGAGAAGTGTGCGTGCACGTGCTGGGAATAGGAGGGACTTAGTTCCTCAAGGCTTCCTCATCTTTAAAAGGGCTGTTGAGCTGCTGCCTGTGAGGTCCCCTTGGCTTCTGCTGGTCACTCTCATGACTTCTCCTCAGCTGATCAGCGCAATGGCTTGGGTGGGTTTTTTGGTTGGTCATTACTAAGCTGTTACCAAAGCTTCTGAGTACAAATCTCTAGCATGCCTGTGTGATTGCAGCACAACAGTGTGTTACACTAGGTAATTTATTTAAACATTATTAAGGTGTTTATTCCACAAAAAAAATGTTTTATATATGGCCCATATCTAAATCCTTGCTTGTCTGCCAAATTTATTGGCAGTTTTTGCAGACAATTCAAATTCCTTGGTTGGTCTTTATGGGTTAGTTCCTGGCTTCTCATAGCAAATGCTGCAAACATAGATCGCGAACAGGTGATGGTAAAACAGGATTCCTTCCATATCTCTCCCCAGAATGGAAGAGGATGTTTACCAAGATAACAAATGTTACATTAAAGGCCCTGGTTTTGATTATTCATTCTGAATCTATGTGTATCTGTCTAGATTTGACCTTCAGGAGATAACTCTTCCATAATGCTATGTGTAAACAAATGCACTGTCATTCAGGCTTAGGGAATGCTAAGCTACTAAAGCCTGCATATATTACAGATCCAATACGCCTCATTTCTGATGAATATTTTATTTGATTTTATTTTGATTTATGCTTCAAATTGGAGAACACTCACAATGGATTGTGGGTGTCAGTGTTTATTTTTAAATGACTATTTTTGGAGTAGCAGATGAGCTGGATATTTGTTTTACTGTGCAAATGTTCTCCACAAAACAGTTTGTTTTCTCTGTTTCTCTTGTATTCTCATAGCCAGTCTTGGTCTTTCTGTGGCTGCCTGTGTGTGTAAATATATACATGTGCTTGTCTGTGTGTATGTGTTTTAATGTAATAAAGGCATACGCCTGAAGTCTTGTGCTCTTTCTGTTTTCCATAACTTGTCCTCATCCCGCTTCTTTCCTCCTGACTTAATGACCACCCAGCATTTATTTTTTGTGGAACCTTAATTGTCAAATATATTAAAAAGTTTACTTTTCTTGAGCTGAAGTTGACTTGAGCTGGCCAATTTCTTGGGTGATTTTTCTTCTGTCTGGAAATTCTTACTGTCTCTAAAGTACTTTTAAATTGGTTGAATTGGTGGTTTTTCTTTCTAAACGTTTCAGTTGCATTTCCGTTCATCTGATGTTCCTGATATTACTCTGCATGTTCAGCTCATCTTCAGCATCTGCTTTTCACTTCCGCTTATACTGAGGTTGCTTTCAGGGATCACTTGCTTATTTTAGTAGCAACCATTGTATGACACTTGTTTTCTATTCTGTCTGAAACAGAGATACAAGCAGAGGCAGCAGTGGGATTGGTGGCTTGCCAGATAGGTTCGAGTCTTCTCTTTGGGATAAGAAGGACTTGCTGGCAAAGCTGTTTTCTTAAAATACCTTTAGTTCATGATCTTTCTCTTTTTTTTCCCCTATGGTGTTCTGTGACAAGCTCTTTTCTTCATGCTAAACTTTTCATTTTCATTTCTCTTTATAAACTTCAAGTAAATTATGACTGGCAATCAGATTGCTTAGGAATTTCTGTAATATGCCTCTCTCAGATTTATAAAGATAAATCTAAAATTTCATCTCCCTTAATGAGTTAAGTAATATTAAAAAATGTCCCCCTTGAATCAGGCCAATGATGCCAAGTGACCTTTCTGTGCATCCAATTATTTTTACTTCTACAGTTATTACAAAGGCGACTGTATGGAACGCATGCTTATGTGGTGAAGCCAAGCTGTGAGATACTGAGAAGACTCTAGGTTGCTATGATTTTATTGGATCAGTTGAAAATCCTCTTCTGTTTCTGAGGATAAGGTCCTGAACAATATTTTTTTCAGTTTTGGTTAGACCAGTATATTTTTTTATTTAGTCTTATTATTTCTAGTAAAACAACCTTACTATTTCTTAATAGATAATCCAGAAGTATCCTTTTCTGAAAGAATATAGATTCCATAAAATATTTGCTTTCCTTAAATTGACCAGTTGAATCAACATTTTAAGGTTATTTTTCATCCTTTCTCTGCTAACATGTAGCAGAGAAAATGATAGCCATTAAATTCACTAACATTTTATGTAGAACCAGCCTACTATATACATTTTAAGTGGATCTGAAATCTTGAAAAATAAGCTTTACTCTTCTCAAAATAAGTTTCCAACTGTGCTAAATAAAAATTTTATTTCTGAAAATGAACAAACAGGAAGCAGTTTGGAGGGGCAGATGCCTCCAGCGTGTTTGCAAGTATCATTATGACTAGGCTGCCTTCGAGATGAAAGTAGCTCATTTAAGCCTTTAGGGATATATGGTCTTTGGGAAGCTCTGCTTAGAAGGGAAGAGTATGAGGTTCAGGTGCAATAATTCTGAGCAAGGAAGCTTAGCAGAAGTCAAAAACTAAGGAGGGTTTTGATATAAATTTGATTACATTAATAAAATCAAACCTCAGGAATTTACTGAACATAAACATGTTTACTGTGTCTGAAGTCAGTGTCTAATTCTTTGTGCTTCACACTTTAGCATTAATTAAACATGAACAGAGGACCTAAGCTGAACTCATTAGTGCAAGTGCGATGGCAGAGGAATTGCTAAATCGTTTCAACAAACTAGTTAGGCATTTGTAGGTAATTGAGGATGAAAGTAACAAAACTGCAATATTTATTCTGTGGGGATCTTGTCAGCAAGTTTTTAAAACAAGCTCCTCTTTTGATTTTTTCTTTTTTAATTACTACATTCTGTACAGAACATTTTAGTTATGCCATAGGCCAAGCCGGTCCTCACAACTTTCCACGCTTGGACAAAAGCTCCAGGAAGCTGCTTATGGCTCTGGAAGCCACCAGGGAGGTTCTAATCAAGAAGATACATCCACAGCTTCAGAATTGATCTTTTCTCCTCTCCCGTTGTATCAATGAGACATAGCCCCTCCGTCTTCTATATTGGCCTACGTTTCTAAACCAGTGTGTGCCCTGTTTGGATTTTAGTTTGCTTTTCTAATGGAGGAATTGCACTTTTAGCACCTGCTGGTGTTCCCATTCTCTCTGACAGGTCCTCAGAACAGCAGGGCTCTCCCATGCCAGGCTGATCCTTGCAGAGCCTGGTGGTTTGTGGGGTGGATTTTGGCTAAAATGCCACAGTTTCAATTGGGGAGACTAAGGCACGGGATTTACATCCTGTGCTGATGCTCACACTCTAGCATTTCAGTGTAGTGAGGAGATTTTAAATTGTAACCTGCCTGCCAGAGCCTTATGTTTGGCAGGAAATGTGGCTGATTTATTAAAAAGAAAAAAAAAAAGTATGGCATGTTGATCTTTAGACAACAGAGCTTGTTTCAAAATATTTTAGAAGCTTCAAAGCCATTCCTATCTTGTGTATAGCTCATTTCAGTAATAGAGCTTGACCTTCAAAATCTTGTTAGTGCACTTCCTCAATAAAAAAATCTTTTTAGTATTCTTAAGGTAAGATTCTGATTTAAGTCTGTACCAGAATGGCTCAGTTTGTGTTCTGGGACTTCGTCCAAAATTTCATAATCAATGTGTTTAGGAGTATATTCCACATAGTTTGTAAAAGAAGGTTGGCATATTAAGAAAGTTTGAAAATATAAGCAAGGAAGGATCCAAGCAAGCAAATCCAGAAAACTCTTTTTGTCAGCTTGATTCTGCCTATCAGAAATGCCAGGGAATGTTACATGATTTTGCAAAATTTTGCTAAGCATCAAGTTTTCTGTATGATGTTAGTCGAAATATAGTTGGTAACAGTACTTGTGGTAGTGAGTCATGTCCTTAATTTTATCCCTTCTATCTAATTTGTGCATCAGTTTAGAGGAGA